TCGTGCATCCAAGCTATTGCCTTCAATGCATAGCTCCTTTTCCAACCCCCTCACCACTTGACAGCCCACTGACAGTGCTGGATCTATGCCCCAATTTATCAGCTCCCGCCTGCAACGCGCAGCTACCTACCGCCACCCCCCAAACCATCGGTGAACGAAACTGCGGCAGCTACAACCACAGTAGGACGAGTACGCGGTTATTACAGCTGACAATGAATGATGATGCGAGGTGAACGTGTAACTACTATGCAACCAGCGTACACTGGACGCATCTGAATTTTCACGTCTGAACAGGCAAACATGTTCACGTTTGAGTGAGAATGAACGCGCGGAAACAGACAAAATCTTGCGAGGAAAAAGACTACCTGGGTGCATTCATTTTAAACGCACCCCCCCCCCATCCGTCCCGATTGTGCTGCCCAGCATTCAAGGAAAACCACAGTTTCAGCGTTTACCATTTAGAACAGATGTTTCATTATCGTCATCATAGACGGAATCTAACCGAAACCCGTTGCGCTAGAGTCTCCGTAAAATTCGTGTTAACTTTAAGAACAGTGTACCAGTTCAGAACCCATTGACGGTAAGTTTGGCTATTTTGCCGATTGTGAGTCGCACAGCGAGGCACCCAACCAAACGGATCGATGAACATTTGTGGACTCTCAAAGTCCATACAAAGGCTGTCGGCAAACAATCGCTTGAAAACTGGCACGCAGTAAACAAAGACACTGAAATACAAGAAAATGTCTGATATTCCTCTAAACAGCTAACAAGCCATCTCCAAAACGGAGGTACCAGGGATCAAACTATTCAACCCAACAATGTGTTCATACAAGATTCCAAGCATGCAGACTGCCCTGGCCAAGAACTAGGGTATCGCGAGCTTGAAAAGTATGAGTAATCAGACTGTTGTGTCCCAAAAACTGGTGCATCCTAGACTCAACCTGAATTATACCACCGTTTATAAGGTGTGTTGTTTTACGTATTGGTCTGCTGGGGCGCATCGAAAGCAGATTGGCTGCCTTAGTGTTCCACAGTCCGAACACACATCGTTCGCTCTGATAAAACGGCAGAGAAATGGGACTGAAAAATAACACAGTGACGAACATTAATGTTTTCGGGATCTCGTCATTCATTCAGTACATATCTAATGGTTAAAATAAGAGCGAAAAATGAAATACGCTACGAAGATTGGTTAGTGAAATGCAAAAACGTGGAGACACGAACGATTGGTTGTCTGCGCCTCCCCCC